GAACCTTATGTGCAATGTATACAACACCAGTGTTGTGGTGGGTGGGTTTCACCTCTAAAGTCCAATCATTACCTCCACAAGGATGTTTCAAGCCATATATTATACTTCTGGTAGCCGAATTATAATGGATATTGCAATATTTCATAAACTGGTAAATTGCCGTGTAATATCTGAACTTTTCTACTTCATTCAACAGTAACGGATGTTTCTCCAAATTTGCTGCCCTGAATTTCATAAAATAACAATGGGAATTAGACCTCTAAAAGTAATAATTAAATAACTAAGTAGGAAAGAAAGTGTATTAACAACTTACACTGATGTTTCAAAATTGAAAAATGAATCCCAATCATTAGGCCCCTTAGGTGGAGGCACGCCTTACACCCATCCCTGGCCAATATGAGTCCAGATAAAGGCTTTAAAATCTTTTAAGTCCGTGGTCTTCCGAGAATTAGTAACTTTCTGCATTTCTGTGTTCATGTCTGGTAGGATTAGATGTATGAGATCATTCTTCATCACATATGAGTTCTAGTTGTGAAGTCCTCCATGTGCTACACATTTACTGTGCATATACCCAATTGTGGCCAAAATATTTCTTCACAATATAAAAAATAAAAAATAAAAACATTATATTGTAAGTATACAATTGAATTAAATATAATAGAACTTAAGAATATAAATTTTGTACCTAAAATTGGTAGCCCAAAAATTGTTTAGCTGGATCCGTCAAATAGTCTTCACAATATGGATCGTCTATGAAAGTTTTCTTGTTGTCACCCTTTTTTACCCAGTCTTTGAACCCAGTCTTTGAATTACGAGTAAAAAGCTTCCTGTGATACTATAACCAATTCATGGTTTATATCCAAACAAACATTAGTGGGAACTAGTAAGAATGGGGTTTTAAATCCTTTCAGTTTCAGGACAGAATCCACAGCAATTTTGTTATAGTTAATATGTGACTGTTCATTGTGCAGACACCAGAATCTGGCCTTCTCCTTCACTTTACCAAACCTCACAAAATCCCCATTCCAAAGAGTAGTATCATTGTCAGTATCATTGCAATCTAGCCGAATTAATGTTCCCTTAACACTGGTTCTTATACCTCTCTTCACTCCCTTCACCCGAGTTTTTCTATTATCCTGAGAGTTGCATTGAATATTATATTAGTTAAATTAGTAAGTAATATTAGTTAAATTACTTTGTGAGATATAAAATTGTAATTTACCAGACTATGTAGCACTTGAAAGACTTTTAGCCTCCTTCACTAGTTCTTTTAAAGAATAATCAACTTTATACTCCATTGATGCAAATACTGAAAAAAAAGACAACAATTAGGTTTTTGTTAATTTTAGTTGAACTTTAAATTCATTTAAACAAAATAGAAGAGAAGGAATATAAAGACTCATTAACCACACTTTCTCAGCCCCAAAACAGAGTATTATGTTTTACCCAAGACTATTAACCTAGGAGGATGAAGATGATGATGATTTTTGCTCAAGGGCGGATCCAGGATTTCTCAATGGGGTGGGCTAAATCTAAATATATCTAAGTCTAAGTATAAAGTTATATATGTATATATATATGTGTGTGTGTGTGTGTGTGTTTATGATATACGTAGTATCATATTAGATTAGTAAAGTATGTTATAAATATATAATATTAATTATTGTCTTTGTCTGTAACTTTGAGTTCATCAAAGCTTCCCATTTCACTGTTGTACACTTCCCAGATCTAATGCATGAAACAAGCCAAAAGCTTACAACCCTATCGTTGGTTCAAAGTTGTCATACACTTTTGTTCCCCTAACCATATATCTCTCTCTACAAGTCCATATCTATATAAATATCCCATGCCAATATTAGTCAAGACGCTCAGAGAGCTTATTTTGTCCTAAGTTGGGTAATTCTTATTAGTGGACTCTCTCTTCTTTGTTGTTTCAGTTCTAACATTTCAGAAGCTCTGTCAATGCTCAAACTAATAAAGTTGAATTAAAATTGCATGGAGTCTTCTTTTTCTTTTTCACAGATAAAATTAGGGTTTAGAGAGATAAAAAAGAAGAGAGCCCAAGTAGATGAATCATATTACACACCATTGTTTCAGAATTTGGGGAACTAAAAAATCGTGTGTGAAGTGACCAAAGATTCTTGTAACTAAAAGAATTAGACACCATGCTCAATAGTATGTCTTCAACTCTAAATTTCCTTCAATTCTAAGTGTTTTGACTTAATTTGAATGCATCAACATATTATCAACATCATTAGTCGTCATCGCTAGAGTTAACATTGACATCAACATCCTCATAACGTTGACATTACCATCCTCATCTAGAATCGTCAACTAGAATCACGTAATCCTCTTGCATAGATATACATTTGATTAAGATAAACTGAAAAGACACTTCCTATCATAATTGGTCATTTTAAAACCAACATCACTGCTACAACGGTAAGGGGCATTTATATAATTCAATTAACTAGGCCAAAAAAACACACCTATTTTCTTTTGCCCAACTCCACCCATTCCCAATCAACTCTTTCTTTCAGAAAAGAGACCTATATTATTAGGACAAAAGAGGAAAAGTTTTAAAAGCATTAATAAACTTGAAAAACATATATTCTGAAATTAAAAACTAAACTTCCAAGTCTTTAATTCCCATTAATAAATTGTTTGAGCATCACATCATAACAATATTATATATATGTATGTAGAAACAAAAACAAAAAATCAGTATGTAAAACATGAATAAATAAATGTTACCAATAGCTTAAATGCCAATTAAAATTTTAGAAAAAATAAGAGTTTGTTACTTGCTGACTGAGGAGGCATGTTTCTTGAACCTTGTTCTTACTAAATGTTATGGCCCGATGCTAGCCCTAAAAATAAGAAAACACTCAAGTTGTGAGGAAAATGTTTCACAATCTCACTCAAAACAATTAAAACACCACCATCTAAGTACTATATGTATCATGTATCAACTCAACCCAACTATGCTTTCAGTCAAAATGTTGGACACCCATCCGTAGAAATAAGTGTGATTACGGATAAGTGTGATTAGCACATATTATACCCGGCTCTTATGTTAAATTAATCCAATAACAAAGTGCAATGGATCAGTTTAGGAATAATCTTCAAAATTAACAAATCAATATCATGATATTCTGCATTCTAATAACAAAAGAAAATCAAAAACCAAAATGCAATGCAATGCAAATTTTGTTACTTTATATTGTAAAATATATATATATTTAAAAAAAGATCAAAAAAAATTTCACCAAATAGGATTTAGTTTGCAAAACAAGAATTACAGACCTTGATTAGTTGATTTAGAAAAAAATAAAAATAAAACAAAACCCATACATACAACAAGTTAGCAGTTGTAAAGAGAGAGGGGGCAAGCTTGAGAGTTGAGAGGCAGCGGGCCAGTGGTTGAAGCTTGCGAACAGTGAACCCGATCTGGAACAGCGGGCGATGGCAACTGAAAGATATGGGTTTTGATTTTTTGAACAATCTGAAATGATATGCCGATATGGGCTTCGAACTTTTGATTCTTACAGACAGATAGATAAACTGAAATATATGGGTTTTGAGCTTCTGATTCTTGTAGATGTTGTAGTTTGCAGTTGGAGAGAGAGAGAGAGAGAGAACGAGAGAGCAAGTTCAGAATCGAGAACGAGAATAGAGATGGAGGCGATTGGGGAGGCTGAAATGATTTGCCCTAAAAATATGTTTGCTTTTTGGTGACCCATCATCCATGGGCTTATAAATTTTGAGGTAGGCGACCGACTTTGTTGCCTTGGGTAAGGATCGGGTCTGGGCTTATTTGGCTTGGGTCTTTATTTTAGTACGGTGACTGAGTTGACTTGGGTTTGATTGGCTTGGGCCTTTATTTTATTTTATAATTATACATAATTTCAATAACTACCTAAAATAATATGGAAATTTCGTGAATTGATGCAACTTTAGACAGCTTTCTACAGCACTAATTTTATGAATATATTTCATTTTCATCGTAGAGAATTGCTCACCAAGATATTTTATTTTACTTTTTTTTTGTTAATTTTCTTTTGTAAATCAATCCTAAAACATTTCGCATATGAATTTTGTGGATTTGACCCACAATGAATGACATATTTATTTTATCAATTTAATCTGACATGTTATGGAATAAATTTAGAATCATCATATTAAAAAAAGAGTTCAAAACTTGTAAAGTCTTAATTAAAAATTAATATATAAATAAATATTCTTTTATTAACTTATGTAGCCATTTAATAATATGGTGTTTCTATAAAAACAATCTTGCCTTATGTAGGGTTCACCACATGATGGCCAGTATGTAGGGTTCACCACATGATGGCCAGTATTGACAAAAACAATCTTGCCAGATAATAAAAATGATATGAAATGTCATTTATGTCCTTCATTTTATAAGATTAAAAAATAAAATACTTAGAACGGAAATCAGCTTTCTTTCTTTTTTTAAGTTAAAACATGGGAAATTAGCTTCTTATAGGGCTAAAATTATTGTTCTTTTAAATAGCCCATCAGCCAATGCCTTGGTAGCCAAATGATTGGGTCATTTTCCATTGTCATTGGGAGCCCGTTTCGAACTTGACACCTCTAACATTTTTGCCTAAAAAAAAAAAAAACCATTTGAATGCATTTACTATACTATTCTGAAATAGCATAGTGAATTACACACGCTTACAAGAAGGAAAGGTGGGAGAGAGATCTAACTTCGGTACAATTATACATTACTTTTATATCTACCTAGAACAGTATGGATGAATTGAAAAGGCCGTGTTCCATTTTAAAAGTTCAACCGCAACTTTGGTCATTCTCTGCCAAAGCACAATCCAAAAGAAATCAATTAAACTAGCATTCACAGCACCATTTCAATTTGGAAGCAGACAATAATCTGTTGCAAGTTAATCGACATTGGGAGAATCTGTCACCTGTTATCAATTATTCTTTGATTATCAGATGAAACATGGGATGATCGATTCAGACACCATTAAAACTCATTTATTCCAACGGCAGGTAGCGATCAATCGCACTATTCCAACTACTTGTGGAATAAATTCATTTCAATACACATCAAAACACTACCTCAGGCAATAAAGTTTAATAAAAAGAGGTTCAGATGTTCTCCATTTCACTTACATTTACATTGGATAATCCTGCACTCTTGTTTGCAGCCCGTGCATGTACAATCTAAGGTATAAAATCGTTAAAGCTGTTGAATTCTTCTTTCAAGACTCATCTACGTTTGAAATTCACAACACAGCTTTCAGTTTCTCTTCTTTTTGTACAATTTCCACTGCTCCAGTATACATGCTGCTCCCTCTCTCAGTGTTGCTTTTCTACCTTCTCTGTAATACCATAGCTCTGCAACCGGGTATCTGACACTGGGGTTATATTGGTTCATCTCATCCACTCTTTAGACTTTTCAGTTTTTCATCCTCTTCATCAATTATTTCCTGAACAACATCCTGACATACCAAAGAGTAGGGTAAATGCAAATGAAAAAGACAATCTTGCCTCATGTAGAGTTCACCACATGAAATAAATGGCTGCCAATTAAAGAATTATAGAAAATGTAACTGACTAAAGATTGGGCAATCTGCAGAAACACACTACTATAACATGTTACAATAAATCCGTGCCATATAGTTGTCATGGTATCAAGGGCGGATCCAGGATTTCTCAATGGGGTGGACTAAATCCAAATATATCTAAGTTAGAAATATATATATATATATATATATATATATGTATGATACATGCAGTCACATTAGATTAGTAAAGTATGTTATCAGTATATAATATTAATTACTGTCTTTGTCTGTAACTTTAAGGGCATCAGAGCTTTCCATTTCACTGTTGTACACTTCCTAGATCCGATGCATGAAACAAGCCAAAAGCTCACAACCCTATCGTTGGTTCACAGTTGTCGTACACTTTTGTGCCCCTAACCATATATCTCTCTCTCGACAAATCCATATCTATAGAAATAACCCATGCAAATATTAGTCAAGACGCTCAGAGAGCTTATTTTGTCCTAAGGTGGATTCTCTCTTCTTTGTTGTTTCAGTTTCAACATTTCAAAAGCTCTGTCAATGCTCAAACAGATAAAGTTAAATTAAAATTGCATAGAGTCTTCTTTTTCTTTTTCACAGATAATTAGGGTGTAGAGAGATGAAAAAGAAGAGAGCCCAAGTAAATGAATTATATTACACACCATTGTTTCATAATTTGAGGAACTGAAAAATCGTGTGAAGTGACCAAAGATTCTTGTAACTAATAGAATTAGACACTATGCTCAATAGTATGTCTTCAACTCTAAATTTCATTCAATTATAAGTGCTTTGACTTAATTTGAGTGCATCAACATATTATCAACATCATCAGTCGTCATCGCTAGAGTCAACGTTGACATCAACATCCTCAAAACGTTGACATTAACATCCTCATCCAGAATCGTCATCTAGAATCACGTAATCCTCTCGCATAGATATACATTTGATTAAGATAAACTGAAAAGACACTTCCTATCATAATTGGTCATTTTAAAACCAACATCACTGCTACAACGGTAAGGGGATTTATATAATTCAATTAGCTAAGCAAAAAAAAACATACCTATTTTCTTTTGCCCAACTCCACCCATTCCCAATCAACTCTCTTCTTTCAGAAAAGAGACCTATATTATTAGGACAAAAGGGGAAAAGTTTTAAAAGCGTTAATAAACATGTAAAACATATATTCTGAAATTGAAAACTAAACTTCCAAGTCTTTAATTCCCATTAATAAATTGTTCGAACATCACATCATAACAATATTACATATATGTATGTAGAAACAGAAACAAAAACAAAAAATCAGTATCTAAAACATGAATAAATAAACGTAACCAATAACTAAAAATGCCAAATAAAATTTTAGAAAAAGTATAAGATTGTTACCTGATGACTGAGGAGGCATGTTTCTTAAACCTTGTTCTTGCAAAATGTTAAGGCCCCAATGTTAGCTCTAAAAATAAGAAAACACTCAAGTTGTGAGGAAAAGGTTTCACAATCTCACTCATAACAATTAAAACACCACAATATAAGTACTATCTGTATCATGTATCAATCCAACCCAACTACGCTTTCAATCAAAATGTTGGACACCTATCCGTAGAAATAGGTGTGATTACGGATAGGTGTGATTAAAACATATTATACTCGGCTCTTATGTTAAATTAATCCAATAACAAAGTACAATGCATCAGTTTAGGAATAATCTTCAAATTTAACAAATCAATATCCTGATATTCTGCATTCTAATAACAAAAGAAAATCAAAAACCAAAATGCAATGCAATGCAAATTTTGTTACTTTATATTGTAAAATATATATATATATTAAAAAAAGATCATAAAAAATTTCACCAAATAGGATTTAGTTTGCAAAACAAGAATTACAGACCTTGATTAGTTGATTTAGAAAAAAAATTAAAACAAATCCCATACATACAAGTTAATTAATAATTAAAGAAAAACACATAAACTAAAATAAAATAAACTACTAACAAATATAATTTTGAATGTTAATTAGTCCAAATCCAACCTTCTATCTTAATCCAACTAATGCAACGGTTAATAATAAAAATAAATAAACAACTAAACAACTAAAGACACAAATAATTAATTTAACAAATCACATCACACTCAATCAAACAGACAAATACAATTAATTAGATAAGAAATCAAATAATCCATTAAATAATAATGAACAATTAAACAATTAAATAGACCAATAAATAAAATAAGACAATTAATTTAAACAAATAATTCTTCTTAAAATTAGGGGTATTACAAGAAGTCTCCCTAAAAGTATGAGCCTATATTCAATGGTACATGACTTCTATCCAAGTTCAATAAAAGCTCTGATTGCAACCCCTGAATCGATCACAATTTGCAATTAAGAATGTGAAAACATATACTGAATTGATGATCAGCGAGAGAGCTTCGAAAGAAAGCGAAACAAATTATTTTTTATACGGAAGCTTCGAAATCAAATGCTTGAGATTATTCTAGAAGAGAAGAGACTGAGATCATAAGAATTAAATTTGTTTTTCCCAGCTTCGGATCCTGACCATAACCATCTACCTCCCACCATCAATATTCGTGGAGAGACAAAGCAAAACTTTGTTGTCACAAATCTATTACAGAGCGTAAGGAAGGCGTATCAGTGGCAATGGTTTTAGGGTTTATATCTCATTTAACTTGATTTGAGAAATTAATCCAATGGTTCAGATTAAGCCATGAGTTGGTATACTGGACTATTTAGCCATGAGTTGGGTAAGGGACAATTAGTTAATATACTTTATTTGTAGGTTGGGCTTCTAAAAAAATTAATTGGACATATCAAACATATGTGACATCTAAGTTAGACTTTTAAATACAACAATTTAAACATAATGGGCTATGTAAACGAACATGTTCACAAGCTCACGAACAAGCTTAAGTTGCTTAACACTATTTAAGCTTGGCTCTTTTGTTATTGCCAATAAACTCACACACACCACACTCACATAACCACTTTTCTCCTTTGTAGACTTAAACCCTCACCATCCACTTTGGGAGGTAGAGGAGATACCATTAGGCCATAAAGCCCTTCGCTCTTTTACTAAATGAGCCTGAAAAAAATGAGCTCGATCTTAGCTCATTTACTTCACGAACGAGCAATCGTGTATGCTTTCGTAGTTGTAATTAGAACCTTATGTGCAATGCATACAACACCAGTGATGTGGGTGGGTTTCAACTCTAAAGTCCAATCATTACCTCCACAAGGATGTTTCAAGCCATATACTCTACTTCTGGCAGCCGAATTATAATGGTTATTGCAATATTTCGTAAACTGGTAAATTGCCGTGTAATATCTGAACTTTTCTACTTCATTCAACAATAACGGATGTTTCTCCAAATTTGTTGCCCTGAATTTCATAAAATAACAATGGGAATTAGACCTCTAAAAGTAATAATTAAATAACTAGGTAGGAAAGAAAGTGTATTTACAACTTACACTGATGTTTCAAAATTGAAAAATGAATCCCAACCTTTAGGTCCCTTCCAACCCTTATGTGGAGGCACACCTTGCACCCATCCCTGGCCAATATGAGTCAGGATTAAGGCTTTGAAATTTTTAAGTCCGTGGTCTTCCGAGAATCAGAAACTTCCTGCATTTCTGTGTTCATGTTTGATAGGATTAGATGTATGAGATCATTCTTCATCACATATGAGTTCTACTTGTTAAGTCCTGCATGTGCTACACCTTTACTGTGCATATACCCAATTGTGGCCAAAACATTTCTTCACAATATAAAAAAAACATTATATTGTAATTATTCAATTGGATTAAATATAATAGAACTTAAGAATATAAATTTTGTACCTAATATTGATAGCCCAAAAATTGTTTAGCTGGATCAGCAAATAGTTTTCACCACAGGGATCGTCTATTAAAGTTTTATTGTTGTCTCCCTCTTTTTACCCAACTATAACCAATTCATGGTTTATATCTAAACAAATATCAGTGGGAACTAGTAAGAATGGGGTTTTAAATCCTTTCAGTTTCAGGACAGAATCCACAGCAATTTTGTTATAGTTAATGGTGACTGTTCATTGTGCAGACACTAGAATCTGGCCTTCTCCTTCACTTTACCAAACCTCACAAAATCCCCAATCCAAAGAGTAGTATCATCGTCAGTGTCATTGCAATCCAACCGAATTAATGTTCCCTTAACACTGGTTCTTATACTTCTCTTCACCCCCTTCCCCAGTTTTTTTATTATCCAAAGAGTTGCATTGAATATTATATTAGTTAAATTAGTAAGTAATATCAGTTAAATTACTTTGTGAAATATAAAATTGTAACTTTGCAGACATGTAGCACTTGAAATATTTTTAGCCTCCTTCACCAGTTCTTTTAGAGAATAATCAACTTTATACTTTTTTTCAAAAAATAAAATAAAATAAAAATAATCAACTTTATACTCCTTTCATGCAGATACTGATAAAAAAAGACAACAATTAGGTTTTTGCTGATTTTAGTTGAACTTTAAATTCATTTAAACAATCAATCTACAAAATAGAAGAAGAAGAAGAAGAAGAAATATAAAGACTCATTAACCACACTTTCTCAGCCCCAAAACAGAGCATATACAGAGTATTATGTTTTACCCAAGACTACTAACCCAGGAGGATGAAGATGATGATGATTTTTGCTCAAGCGCGGATCCAGGATTTCTCAATGGGGTGGGCTAAATCAAAATATATCTAAGTCTAAGTATAAAGTTATAAATATATATATATATGTGTGTATGATATACGTAGTATCACATTAGATTAGTAAAGTATGTTATAAATATATAATATTAATTATTGCCTTATGTAACTTTGAGTGCATCAGAGCTTTCCATTTCATTATTGTACACCTCCTAAATCCGATGCATGAAATAAGCCAAAAGCTCACAACCATATTGTTGGTTCACAGTTGTCGTGCAATTTTGTGCCCCTAACCATATATCTTTCTCCCTACAAGTCCATATCACCTAACCATATATCTCTCTCTCCACAAGTCCATATCTATAGAAATATCCCATGCCAATATTAGTCAAGATGCTCAGAGAACTTATTTTGTCCTAAGTTGGGTAATTTTTATTGGTGGACTCTCCCTTCTTTGTTGTTTCAGATTCAATATTTCAGAAGTTCTGTCAATGCTCAAACTGATAAAGTTAAATTAAAATTGCATAGAGTCTTCTTTTTCTTTTTCACAGATAAAATTAAGGTTTAGAGAGATGAAAAAGAAGAGAGTCCAAGTAGATGAATCATATTACACACCATGTTTCATAATTTGAGGAACTGAAAAATCGTGTGTGAAGTGACCAAAGATTCTTGTAACTAAAAGAATTAGACACTATTCTCAATACTATGTCTTCATCTCTAAATTTCCTTCAATTCTAAGTGTTTTGACTTAATTTGAGTGCATCAACATATTATCAATATCATCAGTCGTCATCGCTAGAGTCAACGTTGACATTAACATCCTCATAACGTTGACATTAACATCATCATCTAGAATCGTCATTTAGAATCACGTAATCCTCTTGCATAGATATACATTTGATTAAAATAAACTGAAAAAAAACTTCATATCATAATTGGTCGTTTTAAAACCAACATCACTGCTACAATAGTAAGGGGATTTATATAATTCAAATAGCTAGGCAAAAAAAACATACCTATTTTCTTTTGCCGGCTCCACCCATTCCCAATCAACTCTCTTCTTTGAAAAAGAGACCTATATTATTAGGACAAAAAAGGAAAAGTTTTAAAAGCATTAATAAACTTGTAAAACATATATTCTGAAATTAAAAACTAAACTTCCAAGTCTTTAATTCCCATTAATAAATTGTTCGAGCATCACATCATAACAATATTATATATATGTATGTAGAAACAAAAACAAAAAATCAATATGTAAAACATGAATAAATAAACGTAACCAATAGCTTAAATGCAAATTAAAATTTTAGAAAAAATAAGAGTTCGTTACCTGCTGACTGAGGAGCCATGTTTCTTGAACCTTGTTCTTGCTAAATGTTAAGGCCTGATGCTAGCCCTAAAAATAAGAAAACACTCAAGTTATGAGGAAAAGGTTTCACAATCTCACTCATAACAATTAAAACACCACCATCTAAGTATTATCTATATCATGTATCAACCCATCCCAACTATACTTTTAGTCAAAATGTTGGACACCCATCCGTAAAAATAGGTGTGATTACGGATAGGTGTGATCGCACATATTATACCCTGCTCTTATGTTAAATTAATCCAATAACAAAGTACAATGCCTCAGTTTAGGAATAATCTTCAAAATTAACAAATCAATATCATGATATTCTGCATTCTAATAACAAAAGAAAATCAAAAACCAAAATGCAAAGCAATGCAAATTTTGTTACTTTATGTTGTAAAAAATATATATATATTTAAAAAAAGATTATTCAAAAATTCACCAAATAGGATTTAGTTTGCACAACAAGAATTACAGACCTTGATTAGTTGATTTAGAAAAAAAAAAATTTAAAACAAAACCCATATATACAAGGTAGCAGTTGCAGAGAGAGAGGGGGCAAGCTTGAGAGTTGAGGGATAACGGGCCAGCGGCTGAAGCTTGCAAACGATGAACCCGATCTGGAATAGCGGGCGATGGAAACTGAAAGATATGGGTTTTGATTTTTTGAACAATCTGAAATGATATGCCGATATGGGCTTTGAACTTTTGATTCTTGCGGACAGATAGATAAACTGAAATATATGGGTTTTGAACATCTGATTCTTGTAGATTTTGTAGTTTGCAGTTGCAGAGAGAGAAAGTTCAGAGTTGAAATTTGAACTCCTTAACCCAATAAACTGTCCTTCGAACAAATGAGAGAATTTTGATCGAATAGTCAAAACATAATTAGTGAACCAAACAGTACTTGTATTAAGACAACACAGGTTCATTGCTTAGACGAAACAATTGCAATGTTCAAACCATCATCACTACAAATAGTACAGTACATAGCAAAATACTTAATATATTATCAAAAATATAAATATAAATAAAAACAGAATACAGAAAACCTGAGATGGTGCGTGGGTGTAGAGCGGAGAAGCCGTGTGACCGTGTCACTGTCTGAGAAGTTTGGAGGATTCACTTGACTCAGAAATCTGAGATGGGAGTGAGGATGAAATTATGAATGACTAGAGATCGGAGACGATTAATGATGAAATCTGAGAGCAGGCGAGGTCGATGAGGACTGAGGAGATGAGAGGAGGCGACTCAGGCGAAGGCGATGAGAGGTCAGACTTCAGAGGAGGCGAGGGTTATCTTAGGGTTCGTCACTTCGTCTCTTTAGATGAGAGATTGAGATTTGAGAGGAGGCGACGACTAAGAGAGTGAGAGATTTAGGGCAAAAAACTAAAAAAAATAGGGGTTTTTTCACGTGTCTAATGTCCAGCGACTCAGCCCAGTTGTTTATATTTACTTATTTTTTAGTATAAAATTAAATATATAATATATATATATATATATATATATGTATATGTATATATATATAGTTCCGGTACTATCGGTTCCATGGGGTAGAACCAAAACCAGAACTGTATGTTCACTGTTCCTAAATTTGGAATCGGGATCGGAACCAGAATCTTAAAAACCGGATAAAAAGTTTCAATTCTGACGGTTCCGGTTCCATTGTTCCTGTTCTTTTGTATATTCCTAATTATACATAAATTTAATATCTACCTAAAACAGTAGGGAAATCTCATGAATTGATACAACTTTAGACAGCTTCCTAAAGCACTAATTTTGTGAATATATTTCATTATCATCATAGGGAATTGCTCACCAAGATATATATATATTTTTTTTGTTAATTTTCTTTTGTAAATCATTCCTAAAACATTTCACATATGAATTTGTGGATCGGACACACAGCTAATGACATATTTATTTTATCAATTTAATCTAACATATTATGGAATAAATTTGGAATAATCATATTAAAAACAGAGTTCAAAACATGTAAAGTCTTAATTAAAAATTAATATATAAATAAATATTCTTTTATTAACGTATGTAGGGTTCACCACATTTAATAATATGGTGGGTGTTTATATAAAAACAATCTTGCCTTATTTAGGGTTGACCACATGATGGCCAGTATGGACAAAAACAATCTTGCCCGATGTTTAAAATTATATGAAATGTCATTTATGTCCTTCATTTTATAAGATTAAAAAATAAAATACTTGGCACGGAAATCAGCTTGCTTTCTTGTTTTTTAGTTGAAACATGGGAAATCAGCTTCTTATAGAGCTAAAACTATTGTTCTTTTAAATAGCCCATCAGCTTTAAATAGCCCATCAGCCAACGCCTTGGTAGCCTAATGATTTGGTTATCCTTGGTAGCCTAATGATTTGGTTATCTTCCATTGTCATTGAGAGCCCGAGCTTGACACCTCTAACATTCTTGCCCTCAAAAAAAAAGAAAAAAAAAACCACTAGACCATCCATTTGTATGCATTTACCATACTAGGCTGAAATAGCATAGTGAATTACACACGCTTACAAGAAGGAAAAGTGGGAGAGAGATCTAATATACATAACTTCTATATCTACCTAGAACAATATGGATGAATTGAAAAGGTCGTGTTCCATTTCAAAAGTTCAACCACAGCTTTGGTTCCTCTGCCAAGCAATGGATGGGGTGGTTAAAAGCACAATCCAAAAGAAATCAATTAAACTAGCATTCACAGCACCATTTCAATTTGGAAGCAGACAATAATCTGTTGTAATTTAATAGAAATTGGGAGAATCTGTCACCTGTTATCAATTATTCTTTGATTATAGATGAAACATGGGATGAACGGTTCAGCCCCCATTAAAACTCCTAAGCACAACCAGGTAGTGATCAATCCCACTATTCCAACTACTTGTGGAATAAATTCATTTCAATACACATCAAAACACTACCTCAGGCAATAAAGTTTTAACAAAAGAGGTTCAAATGTTCTCCATTTCACTTGCATTGGATAATCCTGCACTCTTGTTTGCAGCCCATGCATGTACAATCTAAGGTAAAAAAATCCTTAAAGCTGTTGAATTCTTCTTTCAAGACTCATCTACGTCTGAAATTCACAACACAGCTTTCAGTTTCTCTTACTCTTGTACAATTTCCACTGCTCCAGTATATATGCTGCTCCCTCTCTCAGTGTTGCTTTCCTTCCTTCTTTGTAATGCCATAGCTCTGCGACCGGGTATCTACCACTGGGGTTATATTGGTTCATCTCATCCAAGGCTGTTGTCACAGCCTCATAAACTTCATCGCCATAGTCATTCTTTAGACTTTTCAGTTTTTCCTCCTCTTCATCAATTATTTCCTGAACAACATCCTGACATACCAGACAGTAGGGTAAATGCAAATGAAAACCAGAAGAGTAGAGATAGAGAGAGGCTAATAAAAAATATGGTGAAATATAGTACAAGTGGGAATCTAGAAAATGAACAAGAACAGGATGGCCAGTATCGACAAAAACAAAAAAAATAGAAAGATCAAGAATTGTTTACGGCAACCAAATAGTTATAAAATTAGAATGTGTGCGCCTAGAGACCCCCTACAAAAGGCTCTATCAAGTATATCAGCACTAACCAAATAACATTAAAATTTTGTAATATAGACATGGGAGAAAGAGGGGGGTAGTAAGCAATGCCACATCAATACAACAAATACCTCAGAACCTTCTTTAGCATTGATGATTTTATAAGGATGCCAGCTTGGATCCCTGAGATAATCCTCCCACAGGGAACACAATTCCAATGCTTTTTCCACTGCCTTTTCATCGGAATGTTTTCTCTTGGCTGCAGTGTGAAATGGCTTTTCATCAAGCTCTCCCATTCTCTTGACACCAATCAAAGCATGGCCATTTGACAGTTCCTTCAAACCCTAAAAGGCAAGGACATTACACAGACCATGTATTTTGAGGACTTTAAGAATATATCAAAATCACGTTCAAAAATAGAAAAACAAAATAAAAGTCATCCCGCAAGAAACTTGTACATAGATCCTCCATTCCAAGGGCCACGTGTTGACATGAGTAGCAAAAAACTTATATTTTTTTTTCTTATATGTTTTTAAAAAACTAAAGTCCATATATTCAGATCCAAAAATTGGATTGGAAGACATTGAATAGGTTGCAAGCATTATGAACAAGTCATCTTACATAATGCAACCTTGTTAGTCTTTTCATTTACCAACTTGTTTACATGAGCAATCAAAATTGTGACTTAAAAATTCACATTCAGAAAAACTCAAACTTGAAAATTAATCAAAGACCAATACATATAAAACACAGGCTAGACAAGCCATAATATGTTAGCTTGTTGATTAACTGCCAGTGTCATATATATAGAAATTTACTACCAAAGACATCTCAACTCAATAAAGCCTCTTCCCAGCTACTTGGTGTCGAAATCCTATTTTTCCATTCCCTATATCTAATGCCATAGCCATTCCCCTAGCATTACTCTTATTGTGAAGAAAAAATAATTTCAAAAAATAAATCGAAAAAAAAAAATTGTGCAAAAGTTATACACCCAAAAAAAAAAAAAAAACACACACACACACATACACATTGAAAGATAAAGACAATTATGTCTAGAAGAAGCAAAATCCAAACAAACATCTGTTTTTTTTTTCAAAAATATTAGACTAGGAACTGCTCCCTGCCATCAAAGATTAAATCAGCTCACAAAAGACTTTGTAAGGCAAAATGAATTTATTTTCTTTGGAAAATAATAAATTTGCAAAAAGCACCTGTGTCAAGGTACCTGAATTCTGCACCTCTTTGGGGGTTGCAGGAAATACCAGTCAACAAAGGGTGGTAACATGTTTCAAGGTAAATTGAGAATCATACCTATAAAGGACCACAAAACTTCTCTGCATCATAGAACAAAGACATTCAACTGTATCAAACCTGCTTTATTTCTGCATGCATGTTTGTGCATGGTCAATTATGACTTGCTGAAAGCATGTCCCAGTGCACCATAAATGAGGCCATAGTATCAAGGATGATAATTCCAAAACACTCGGCCTGCAATCACTAGTCTATTTTTTGTTTTTAAATGCAATATCTTAGATCACCCACTAGTCTGTCTTATTGGTAGATAAACATAGTAACTTTACAAAGAAACTCATTTCATGCCCTTTCTGGAATTCGACATAATAACTTTTCTGTTGACATATTGAACAAATAGCAAGTTCCAGAATGTCGTGCATAGACACAAAATAGTCAGACCGGGGTTTATTGACTTACAGCAAAGAGAAGCAGTAGAGTTTCTAGGTAAGTTGAGGAATACAAGTTCCCTCGCTATCTAGGTTGATTTTGAACCCATCAAGCACTACATTGATCTACCCACAGTTGTTGCCTGGTGGTGTTATGTTGGACACAGAACATCAAAAGAAGCAAAAGAGAAAACTAACAGTATAAGGACTCTGCTATAAGTTATCCTTGCCCTTGCAAATTACACTATAACATTGGTTCAAAGCAATTACGAATTTTTGTTTCTATTAATTTCATTCTCTAAAACTCGCCTCTTTCACATTGGCATTCATGACATAAAAGTGTTAAGTTCTCCTTTGTACATGAACTGTTATAAGTCTGGCCCTATAAATATTCCAAAGTTCATTATTTGTGCTTTCAGTCTTTTTCTCTATTTGCATAAACTTCAACAGCTGGTTTCTAACAGAAAAAGTGTGCATCTTTCTTGTCATTGGCAACTTTTTTCCCATTTTAATTTGGTGATTAACAATTCCATTATAGCAGTTTAGCATGCTTGGGTGCCTTCATTCGCATAGCTTTTAAAAGTGGTAAGCATATAGCAATATAAAGAACACATAAGATATCAACCTCTAGACCCAAAATTTGGATTAACCAGAAACTAATCAAGGCCCAAAAAAAAAAAATTTTGACGGGCAATCATAACCAATTAAATCAAGAGATAGAGCGAACAAAAAGACAAACAGAGATAGAGATAGAAGAGGGAGGCGGGAGGGGAATTCAGTTGAGAATACTATGAAGCAATAAAAAGAACTTCTGTCCTTGAGTTACACTCCTTTTTAGGATATAACTGTCCACGGAATCAAAAGGTTTTTAAAGCTTAACAGCCAGAGGTTAGCCTTAAGGTAAGGCTCACAGGTAACAGAGGGCTTGAGTCATGTGATGCTTGGCCCTCAAGGGATGAAGCACTCAATAGGCACTATTTGCACCCTTGGCTTATGCTTAAATCCACACAACCGCTACATCCATATTTCGAATATTGATTTGTTCTCATTGGAATACAGAAAAAAATAAAATAAAATAAAAATAAAAATAAAAATTCAAAACAAGTTTAATTTTAGCCTTTTTTCTACACAATTAAACATGTCTGACATTATAAATTCAAAGTTTTGTGCAACAACTCATAAGAGTTCATTTGGCAAATGGAATCCAACATTACCCGCGCAAGCTGAGGCTGTTTAAGAAACCGGCCAAGGGCATCAAGCTCAATTAGTGAAGGACTGTGTTTAATTCAATCTCTAAAACTTTGCATAATTAAGTGCAGTAAACAATAAAGAGAGGGATAAAGCAGGGTAGTAACTCCAATTCATGATATCCAGGTCATATCACTTTGCAATTTCTTTTGTCTCACTGTAAATTGTAAAATAAAGAAAGCTAGTTTACTATTGAAAGAGGATAGCATAACAGTGCAAAGCAAACACTATCCAACACCTAGGACCCTAAAAAGATAGCAATCTCTCTGCTACCTACATTTTAGTCCTTTTTTGTCTGAATAAGACCGATTTATTGTACTTTACTAGGTATGACTGTTGCACATCCTTTGGTTTACAGAATGATAACATTATCATGTCATTTATTTTACTTACAAAATTATGGGTGTATAAGGGAACAACGAAGAAAACTCACATGAATAAGCTCTTTACGAGCTTCCTGCAACTCGTCATTGCTTTTCCGCTCCTTAACGATGAGAGCTTGATTTAGTGCTTCCAGATCATCGAGTTCCTTTTCCTTCTCTTTAATAAGATCATTTTCAATTGACTCCATCTCCCTCTTAGCTTTCATATCTCCAACATCATCCATGTGTTTCATTACTTGTACAGCTCCCCTCATGCACTCTATTTCCAACTCCAACCTTTGCTTGGCATCAAGTTTCTTTTCCAGTTCAATAATTCTTTTATGAAGCTCTTGCTTTTGCTTCTATCATTTGAAATCAGTCATGTAGTAAGAGACATGATTTCTCTATAACTTTGACTGATTTAATTTTAACCCGAGCAATTAATTAAAGCAGAAAAATTAGCAATCACCTTTTGATCTTCTGCCAACTCCCACATTTTCTTATCAGCCTTCTTTTGCTCCAAAATTGCCCTCTCATTCTGCAAAGGAAAACAAAATAAATGTTATCTCATATGGTGAATGATTCTGGTATCATTTCCAAGAGAATGTAACCAAGTAGAATGACAGAGACCAATCTAGACATTAGATACTCACACATCTTATTCAGCAGTATATTCATGTGAAAATTTAAAGGAACAAAAATAATGAGTTTAGGAACTTATGCTTGGAGTAAAATATACACTCACTTTTGAAACTTTTCAATTAGACCAAAACTGTCTCAAATCAAAGGAGAGGTAAAATTTTATTGAGGCATTAAAATTTTTAGATTCTGATTTTCTTCTTTGTCAAAACATCTTCTTAGAGAAAGGGATACAGATCTTCTGCTTTTTAATTTTCTCCAGTGCCTGCTGAAATTGCACATACACTTTGATCAGTTGCATAGTCTCAGTTTAAATCAATGAGTCAACCAGGAGGAGGGTGGGTGTCATTCTTTTATTCAATTCTACCTAAAATGGAAGAACATCGAATTCAAGATGCAGTACCATTTTCTTTTCACAATGGAGCCTCCATCTCTCATTTTCGTTATGGATCTCCCGATCCATCAATTCGTTTTCACGCTGCTCGAGTTCTTTGCTTTGGGCTTCCAACTGCAGAGTAGTCTTTTCATGCTCCTTGGAGATCCTTTCAAGTTGATCCCATGCATTCTGCTGCATCTTTTGTATCTCTAGTTTTCATCAAGTTAAAAATAGTACTGTGAGCTTGGTAATGCAGAACAAAAGAGACAGAAACCAATCAGCAACTAAGAAGTTGTTGCAAACTAGCCTAGTCAAACACAGTAAAGACTATGTACCTTCATTATAAGCTCGGTACATCTCATAAGTTTGAGAGATCAAGTTGGTTAGGGATATTGATGTTTCATTATATTTACACTCCATCTCCTTAAGCTGCATCTTTTTCTCCTCAATAACATTAGTCAGGTTGGACAGAAGTTTTTTAGTTTTTCTCTTGTCTTCAGCTTCAATCTCAGAAATTGTTTTCAGATCCCCAGTCTTTCGGAGATGTTCACCAATGATCCTTTCGGAATAGAAGTCACCATCCCTTGCAACCCATCCGTACAACTTATCTCCAAGGCATTTTGATCCATAATAATCTCTCTTTCCCTTGTGATCTGCTTCAAAAGTCTTCTCAAACATCATTGCATTATTGAATCCAAGCCAATCTTTCTGAAACTCTACTATTGCATACCCTGAATGACATCTACAGTTCCACAGAAGACGAACCCTCACAGGGTTAAAACCCTTCCTTGCAAGATCATCTCGAAGTTTTGACCCACTTTCCCACCTTTCGTCCTTCCACTCAAGGGGAATGTTAGCTACAATTCCCATCCAAGGCCAAACAAATAGCTCATTCACATCTTTTCCCTTAGCATAATCACTATTCTGTCTTGTGGATTCTGATGGTGACCCCTTCACATCAAGATACTTTTTCATATACCTTGCTAAACCTAAATGCTTCCCCTTCTCTTTTATACCCCTTTTCTTTGAACCCTTCCCAACACCATTTGCGTGCTGTAGGAGGTCCTTGTAGGCATAATTTTGCTTCTTCCCTTGACAGAATGGGCATCTATATTTTTCATCTGCAATTTGCACCTTAACACTTCCATTCTTCAACTGCTCATAATATTTCTCTCTATATTCCTCCAACTCTAACTTGCTAAAATCTGTTTCCTCTTCTGATGAGTAAGACATTTCTTTCAAATAATCTAAAATAAAACAAAACCATCAAAAGTTAACCACACTCTGTTTAGTTACTAAGAAAACTGTAGGGGAAAAATGAAAAAGAAAAAGAAAATGGACCACTTTAGAGTCCATTGTTTGTGTTTCCTTAACTCATATTACTGCTAATAGCTAAACATTATAATACTATTTAGGGTCAGTTGAATGTAATTTATACTTTATGGTCAGATAAATTGCAACACTGAAATATATAAGACTCGTTAACTGCACTTTCTCAGTTCCCAAAACAGAGCACTTAGAGAGTACAATTTTTTGCTCAAGGCTGACCCAAGAGGAGGAGGAGGATGATGATTCTTACTCTATTATTAACCAAATTACTCCTTAACTCACATTACTGAATTATTTTATATTAATCCTCTGTTTCATTGAGCAAAAAATTTGAAAAGAAGAAAGATATGAAACCTTAAGTTTTGTAGAAAAATGAAAATGAAATAATTATTCATAAGTATAATATCTGTTTTTCCCACATATTCACAGCTACCAAGCAGAGCTTATGCAATACAAAAGGAGATGTTATCTAAAAATAAAATAAAATCGAATATCTGGATGCTTACCCACAGATTCTTTGTACTGTTTTGCTTTTTGTTGTACTAAAGTCATTTTAAACCAAAAAATTTATGAACTATGTCAAAGACGAGCAAATTTGTATTTCCTCTGGTCCTCAAGATAACAGAAAGAAAATCAAAATGAAGTACCCAAATAAGCTATATAGAAGAATTAGTATCATTGATTAACATTGATATTTTCTTTTGGTAGCCAAAAAAAAATTAAAAATAATATCTCTCAGAAGTCGGAACATACATTTCTTCCAATCCCTCTAATTTTCTCTACAACCAAAAAGATGATATAACTCGTGAAACAAAATAAAGCAGTATCATACGCCAAAAACGAAATCAAAAATCGATACAAAGAAAAATCATATGTGCATACATAGATACAAAAGAAATCTCTCTCAGAACATACATTTCTTCTAATCCCTAACATTCTGTTCAACCAAACAGATAATATAACTCGATCATGAAACAAAACAGAGCAGTATTACACACCAAAAACGAAATCGAAATTAGAGAATAAAGAAATTCCATATGTACATACATAGATAGATACAAGTGTGTGTAAACTGTAAAGATTACTCTATAGAAATGCAATATGGGATGGAATCTACGTACACACCTTTGGAAAATGCAAGAGACACTCACTGACTCACGCAGCCCTAACAAGTTCTATCCAAAACAGAGGTCTTGAGTAGGTCAAGGTATTTAGAGAGAGAGAGAGAGAGAGAGAGAGAGAGAGAGACAAGGTTTGTGCTCTCTGAGACACTGCATACCGGAACGAGTACGTATACAGTGGACAGAGGTTAACCAGGCACTGTTTCTTTGTGTACAATTTATGTATGTTACTACGCGCCGTCGAGTGGTGGTATTTTAAATATTTCACGTGAAATCCTGAGCGTGGGTAATGTGGAAGGTAAACACGTGGCGAGATATCTCAGCGAGTGTTTGATATCAGAACTCAATTGCAAGTAGTGATGTTCTTTCCGTTTAAAGGAATGAGTAATTTAATCCTGTGGGGCCGAGCATATATTTGGTGAATTCAAGCAGCTTTTAGGCAGGTGTTACTAGTACGGAGTACTATTTTCGTGAATCTTATTTAATTATCAACATTGACCATCCTTGCCCCCCAAGACATTGAATTTTTTTACTTTTTTTTCTTTGGTAAAAACTCATCCTAATTTATTTTTTTTTTTTTATGTGAATAAAACTATTTATTTTTTATTTTTTCGCTAGCAAGAAAGATATCTATTAGTAATTAGTAATTAAAATCATTTTTTATATATATATAAATATTTTGACAAAGGAGGAAAAGAGAGTCAAACACGAGCATCTATTTGGTGAATTCAAGCTGCTTTAGACAGGTGTTACTAGTATGGAGTACTATTTTCATGAATATTATTTAATTATCAATATTGACCATCCTTGCTCCCCAAGACATTGAATTTTTTTACTTTTTTTTCTTTGGTAAAAACTCATCCTAATTTTTTTTTTTTTTTTTTATGTGAATAAAACTATTTATTTTTTATTTTTTCGCTAGCAAGAAAGATATCTATTAGTAATTAGTAATTAAAATCATTTTTTTATATATATAAATATTTTGACAAAGGAGGAAAAGGGAGGCAAACACGAGCATACCTGTGCTCGGACTTTATGACTGGCTCAAACTGAGTAATGCCCTATTAATTAAAATCATTGATTACAATAACACTAACTTCATGGTTTGAATTTATCTAGCTCAATAATTTTTTATTCCGATGTTGATAAAATAAAAAAAACTACTCTTATACCAAAAAATTAACTTCTACAGCTAAAAACTAAAAAGCATTCAAGTAATGAATCTTTAACAAGTCACAGTAGTGTGTAACATTGCCAGAAGCACAATCCAAAAGAAATCAACTAAACTGACATTCACAGCACCATTTCAAGTTGTAAAGTAGACACTAATCTGTGGTAAGTTCAAGAAATTGGGGTCAATGTTCTCAGTGAACAATTGGGAGCATTCCTATTGGGAACAAAGAAAATCGTCTCAATTGTATTCTTTGATTATCAGATGAAACATGCATTGATGCGCACATGATCAATTATGCCACCATTAAAACATGTACTGATGTACATCAAACACTACCTCACGCAACAAAGCTTCAATAAAAGAGGTTCAAATGTTCTCCATTTCACTTACATTGGATAATCCTGCACTCATCTACAAATGCAGTTCCAAATGTTCGCTAAATCAAGCTGTAAATCATGTCAATACTCTATATTTGAAGCTCACAGCACAACTTTCAGTTTCTTTTCCTTTTGCGCAATTTCCACTGCCTCAGTATATACACTGCTCCCTCTTTCAGTGATGCTTTCCTTCCTTCTTTATTATTCCATAGCTCTGGGAGAGGGTATCTACCACTGGGGTTGTATTGGTTCATCTCATCCAAGGCCGTTGTCACGGCCTCATACACTTCATTACCGTGGTCATTCTTTAGACTTTTCAACTTTTCATCCTCTTCATCAATTATTTCCTGAACAACATCCTGTTATACCAAAAAGAAGGGTAAATGCAAAAGAAGAAGGGAAGAGTATAGAGAGAGATGCTAATACAAAATAGGGTGAAATATTAGTATAAGTTGGAATCTAGAAAATCAAGACTAGAACATGATGGCCGGTATTGACAAAAACATTCTTGCCTCATGTAGGGTTCGCCACATGAAATAAATGACTGCTAATTAAAGAATTTTTGAAAATGACACGGTAGCTTAGACTAAAGACGGGGCAATCTGCATGTTGCAATAAATCTATGCCATATAGTTGTTGCGGTATCCTGCTAGCAACAGAAACCTAGGAGAACAAAAGTAAGAATTGAGACGAAATTGAGGAGTGGGGGTGAGAAGGCAAGCTGTTAGTTGCAATGGTAATCCTGTCACTAATTCATATCAATTTCCTCATGAACTGTTGGATGCCTTTTGTTTGTGTGCTTGGGCATGTGTTCCTTCTTGAAGAAACCTATTCTTCAAAGAGTTAATTTTTTCAATTATAAAAATAAAAAATAAAAATAAAAAAAGAGTTAATTTATTCTACATTAATATCCATCTATCTATATGACAAATTAAGAATTACCAACAAAAATAAATAAAAAAATACAAAGATACAAGAATTGTTTACAGCAACCATGTGGTTCTAAAACTAGAATGTGTGTGCCTAGAGAGTAGAGGCCCTGCAAAAAGCTCTATCAAGTATATCAGCACTGACTGAATAATGACAAAAAATTGTAATATAGTCAGGGGAAAGAGAAGGCCGGGTAGTAGGCAATGCCACATCAATACAACAAATACCTTAGAACCTTCTTTAACCGTGATGATTTTGTAAGGATGCCAGCTTGGATCCCTGAGATAATCCTCCCACAGGGAACACAATTCCACTGCTTTTTCCAATGCCTCTTCATCGGAATGTTTTGTCTTGGCTGCAGTGTAGAATGGCTTTTCATCAAGCTCTCCCATTCTCTTGACGCCAATCAAAGAACGGCTATTTGACTGTTCTTTCAGACCCTACAAGGCAACGACATTACACATAGACCAAAAAATTTGAGGACTTTATCATGAGGTTATAAGAATAAATCAAAATCATGTTCAAAAATAGAAAAATAAAATAAAAGTCATCCTGCAGGAAAACTTGTACGTAGATCCTCCATTCCAAGCGCCACGTGTCGACATGAGTAGTAAAAAGCGTATTTCTTTTTCCTTGTATGTTTTTAAAAACAAAAGTAAGATCCAGAAATGGGATTGGAAGACATTGAATAGCTTGCAAGCATTATGAACAAGTCATCTTACATAATCCAACCTCGTGAGTCCTTTCATTTACAAACTTGTTTACATGAGCAATCAAAATTTCATGTTCAGAAAAATCAAACTTGAAAATCAATCTAAGACCAATAAATAAAAAACATGGGCTAGACTCGCCATAATATGTTAGCTTGTTGATTCACTGCCAGTGTCATATATATAATAAGTTACTACCAAATATATCTCTACTCAACTCAATAAATCCTTTTCCCAACTACTTGGTGTCGGAATCCTACTTTTCCATTCCCTATATCTAATGCCATAGCCCTTCCCCTAGCATTACTCTCATTGTGAACCAGGAAAAAAATAATAATAAAACAAAAAACAAAACAAAACAAAGAATTTATTTGTGCAACAGTTATACACACCCAAAAGAGAAAAAGAAAAAAAAAAAAAAAACACACACACACACACACAGAAAGATAAAGACAATTATGTCTAGAAAAAGCAAAATCCAAACAAACCATCTGTTTCTTTTTAAAAACTAAAATATTAGACAAGAACTGTCACCACAGCTGGCAGTGTTATGGTGGCCAGAAAATATCAAAAGAAACCAAAGAGAAAACTAACAATAATATAGGGACTCTGCTAAAAGCTATCCTTGCCGTAGCAAATTAAAGTATAACATTGGTTCTAAACAACTAAGAATTTTTATTTCTATTCATATTCATTCTCTAAAACTCAAGTACTAAGTTCTCCTTTGAACATGAACTGCTACAAGTCTGGCCTTGTAGCAATTCAGAAGTCATTAAAATCATAACATCGTGGAAGATTTTCAGTGATGCCTTCTGATACCTATATTCATCATTTGTGCTTTCAGTCTCTTTCTCAATGCATAACTTCTGCAGCTGGTTTCTAAAAGGAAAAAATGTACAGCCATTCTATTTTATTTGTCATTGGCAATTTTTTTCCTTTTTACTTTTGTAGATCAACAATTCCATCATAGCAGTTCAGCATACTTGAGTGGCTTCACTCACTTAGGTTGTAAAATTGGTAAGCTTATAGCAATATAAAGAACACAGAGGATATCAACCTCCAGATCCCAAAATTTGCAATAATCAGCAACTAATCAAGGCCAAAGAAGAAAAAGAAATCAACAAGCAATCATAACCAATAAAATCAAGAGATAGAGCAAACAAAAAGACAACCAGAGAAAAATATAGAGAGGTGGGGGAGGGGGGGGGGGGGGGGGGGGGGGGGGGGGAGGAGGAAGAACTTCTGTGCTTGTGTTACACTTCCTCTTAAGGATATAACTGTCCCCAGAATCAAAAGGCTTTTAAAGCTTAACAGCCAGAGGCTAACCTTAAGGTAAGGTTCACAGGTAACAGAGGGCTTGAGTCATGTGATGTTTGCCCCTCAAAGTGTGAAGCACTCAATAGGCACTATTCACACCCTTGGCTTATGCTTAATGTATACATCCACTACAGCCATATTTAGAACAATGATTTTTTCTCAAACTATAGATTGGAACATAGAAAAAATTACATTCGAAACAAGGTTGATTTTTAGCATTTTCTGTCTTTCTACTCAAGTAAAAATGTCTGACATTTTAAATTCACATCTTTGTCATAAAACTCATCAGTTCATTTGGCATATGGAATCCTACATCCCACAAGCAAGCTGAGGCTGTTTAAGAATCTGACCAAGGGGATCAAGCTCAATTAGTCATGGACGGTGTTTATTTCCGTTGACACAACTTTGCATTTTAGCAACTTTGTCCCATAAATTCCATAATTAAGTGCAGTGAAAAATAGAGGGCCAAAGCAGGGTAGTAAATCCAATGCATGATATCCAGGTCGTGGCATTTTGCAATTTCTTTTATCTCACTGTAAAATAAAGAAACCTAGTTTAGTATTGAAAGGGGGATTGCATAATAGTGCAAAACAAACACTGTCCTAGACATACGACCCTAAGAAGACAAACATCTGTCTCTGATTGCTACATTTTAGTACTTTTTTGTCTAAATAATGCCAATTATACTTTACTAGGTATGACTGTTGCACTACTTTGGTTTACAAAATGGTAACAATATAGTGTCATTTATTTTTTATTTAAAAAAGCATGGGTGTATAAAGGAACTACTAAGAAAACTCACATTAACAAGCTCTTTACGAGCTTCCTGCAACTCATCATTGCTTTTCCGCTCCTTGACAATGAGAGCTTGATTTAGTGCTTCTAGATCCTCGAGTTCCTCTTCCTTCTCTTTAAGATCATTTTCAATTGACTCCATCTTCCTCTTAACTTCCATATCTCCATCATCGTCCATGTGTTTCATTACTTGTATAGCTCCCCTCATGCGCACTATTTCCAACTCCAACCTTTGCTTAGCATCAAGTTTCTTTTGCAGTTCAATAATTCTTTTATGAAGCTCTTGCTTTTGCTTCTGTCATTTGAAATCAGTCATGTAGTAAAAGTCGTGAATTTTATATAACTATGACAGATTTAATTTTAACCCGAGCAATTAAATTAAAGCAGGAAAATGGGAAAGCACCTTTTGATCTTCTGCCAACTCCCACATTTTCTTATCAGCCCTCTTTTGCTCTAAAATTGCCTGCTCATTCTGCAAGAACAAAATCAATGTTATCTCATATGATGAATGATTCCGGTATCATTTCCAAGAGAATGTAACCAAGTAAAATGACAGAGACCAATCTAGAACATTAGCCTCACATATCTTATTCAGCAGTATATTCATGTGAAAAATTAAAGGAACAAAGATAATGACATTAGAAACTTATGCTTGGACACTTTTGAAACTTTTCAATTAGACCAAAACAGTCTGGAAGGTAAAATTTCATGGAGGCATTAAAATTGTTAGATTCTGCTTTTCTTCTTCATGAAACATCTGCTTAGAGAACGGGATAAAGATCTTGTGCTTTTTATTTTTCTTCTAATTCCTGTTGAGATTGTACATAAACTTTGACCGATATTACCACAGCTCGAAAGTTGACTAGGATATGAGTTGTGGAAAAATCTCAGCACACTTTTTATAAGAAAGACACACATTACAGATGCATAAACATCACCATCAGGAAGAATTGCAAGATAAAAGAGGGATTTAACACCCCAACCTTCTGATAAAAAACAAACCTTACTTGAACGCCTGGCATATAAGCTTTCTAATTTTTTTAGCAAGTGAGTTCAATGAAGAGCAAGTGCCCATAGTTTCTTTCATATAATTAATCTTGACCTGGAAGATCTGGTTGCCCCATTGAAAATTGGATCATCTAAACAAACATTTCTCAAGATCACTCCTCCAAAGCCCCATGACACACTAAACAATCAATGCGTTGAAAACTAAGGAATTAAATCTATGGAGAAAGTGGGAAATATTTCATTTGTGTCAACAATGAATGAACAAAGAGACATTGTTCCATATAATACATTATATTCCTATATTGAGAGAAATCAAAAACGGAATATATCCAAAATGTAATACCATAATCTTCTCATGATCAAGCTTCCTCTTCTCATTCTCGTTTAGAGCCCAACGTTCTCGCAGTTCTTTCTCACGCAGCTGAAGCTCTTCCTTCTGAGCTTCCAATTGTGCTTTACTCCTCTCAAGATCATTGAAAGTTTTTTGAAGTTGATCGCAGGCACTCTTCTGCAACTTATTCATCTCTACTTAACATAAAGTAAGATAAGTAAAAGGCAAAAGCAAACATAATAATGAACAAACATATGCAGAATGGAAACGAGGCAAAATCAGACATAATAATGAACAAACAAATGCAGAATGGAAACATCATAGATTTCCTCAGGATGTTATATAACAGAATTATAATGTGCATAATCTAACCAGCAATTAAGCTATTTCCCAATAGAGCACTCTATAAGAATATATACCTTCATTATAATCTTGAATCATCACTTCCTTCTGCCTCATCACATTACCCATATAAACTTCAGTCCTACTTATTTCACTCTTCATCTCTTCACATTGCCTATTCTTATCCTCAAGCTGATTAGTTAAGTTGGAGACAAGCTTTACATCTTTCCTTCTATCTTCTGTTTCAACATCCGAAACAGTCTTTAGATCTCCTTTCTTACGGAGATATTCACCAATAAGACCCTTTAAATGGTACTCTTCCTGTCGAGCAATCCAACCATACAAATTATCTCCTTTATGCCTTGCTGCATAATAATCCATCTTCCCTTGATTTTTCACTTCAAATGACTTTTCAAATGTCATTGCATTCTTGAATCCAGCCCAATCTTTGTTAAACTCAACTATAGCAAACCCTGAATGTCCCTGGTAGCTCCACAAAGGATGAACCTTCACAGGGTTATACCCTTGGTTGATCCACTCTTCTCTTAGCTTTTTACCACAGTCACCCACATACTGACCTTCCTTATTTGTTACCGGAATGTTCGCCACAATGGCCATCCATGGCCAAACAAAAAACTCTTCGGTAGCTTTGTGTTTAGAATACTTCACAGTTTTTGTGGTGGATTGGGATGCATCTATATGCCTCTCCACCAGTTCAGTAGTTCCCGTGACAGACTGTGGTACACTCTTAGCATCTGTATAACCTTTCACAGGTTCAAAAGTACTCAAGGGGGGTGAGAACAACGTACTCTTCCGAGAGTTATACCCATCCACCAATGCAGTGGTTCTCCTGGAAGATTGTGATAACTTACTCTCTCCATCAATATGCTTTTCCACTGGTTCAGTTGATTGTGTACCTTTCACGTCCATATTCCTCTGAGATTTATACCCATCCACCAATGCCGTGGTTCTCCTGAAAGATCGTGATGAGTTACTCTCTCCGTGAATATGCTTTTCCGCCGCCGGCTCAGTTGATCTTGTACCAGTTGATCTTGTACCCTTCACGTCTATATGCTTCTCCAAATACTTCACTAACCCCAAATGTCTGGCTCTATCTTTGAATCCCGCACTCCTGGAATCTCTGCCAATGCGAGAGGCATGTCGGACTAGCTCTTTGTAGTCATCATAGTCCTTCCTACAATAAGGACATCGAAAGATCTTCTCTGAAACTTTCACTCTGAACCTTCCATCTCTCAAATCCTTATAGTATTCGTACTTGTAATCTTCCAGCTCCGAATCAGCGGAGTCGTATTTCTCCCTTCTTCTGTGAGTCATTTTGAACCTGAAAATTGAAATACCATGATAAAGGGTCGAGTTTGTCAACAGACGGGCTTTTTACTGATCACTTCACCTAAAACTGTTTGGGTGCCTAGAAAACCGAAAGAAACTAAAATGAGAAAAGGAAAGCTACATAACCTATCATCTAAGGAAACAAATGAATCAGTGGAGAAAATTAAGGATAACAGCATACTACATTTTCAACTCTGAAACCATGAAATAATCACAAACAATGCGCGAATCTACTGGTTTTCAAAACCTTATGATCCATTATTTTTACACACACACAAATGAACCAGTGTAGAAAATAAATGATAACATCATATTACATTTTCAACTAAAAACCATGAAATAATCACAAACAGCGAGAATCTACTGGTTTTCAAAGCTCTAATATCCATTATTTTTACAATATTCACTACTGTACTCTGTTTTCTTTGCTACATTAATTTGCTCGTCAATTTTAACATATTGTATAGAAATAACCACAAGGAAATAATAGATTATCAAAAACTAAATAATCTAACCACAAATTTCGCAGACTTCTGTTGTGAACACGGAGAAATCAACAAACCCTAATCGCTCTTCCCAGGGTTTTACAAAACCACAATCGCTCTGTTTGTGAAGAGAGAAACTGAAAAAGAAAAAAGGAAAATACGAACTTCCCCTCCCCACTTCGTTTTCTTCATCCACTGTCTGCAATAGTTACGTGGTTAATAAAATTGATGACCAATCTCCTCTCGCGTGTAAATAAACCGGTACTCGCGATCTTGGACGGAGATTTGATTGACAGAATGAAATCGGTAACACGTGTATGGTTGATAGTCGAATAAGGTTGTTTTGGGCACACATGCGTTGGGATTTTATTCTCTATTTATACTTTGATAGAGATGTATTCTCTCTCCTCTTGGGACTGTGCTCTTTGATATTGTGGGTCCACAAAATGGCGCTGGCTACGCGCCACGAAAAGTTCCAAAAACGACTCTTGTGTGTTGCAGTGGTGATTGAATACATCTTAGGGTGAATTTTATTTTTGACAAGCTTTTGTGATAATATTGAAAAGATGAGTATATTCAAATGGTATTAATAAGTGAAAATTACACTATTTAACAACAAATAATTTTGTATTCGATCAGTTTTCACTTTCAAATTGTCCCTCCATATCCATTCTTTTTGTTTATTACACAAATTCCTACCTACAGTAAAATTATGTTTTGACCGGTAAGTTTTCTCATACTTTACCTCTTTCTCTCTCCATGTTTGTCTATTTTTTCACCCAAATTACTTTCCTTTTATCTTCACTACAATTTCTATATCTCGGTATCCACCTCCACCCACCCCCTGCTTGATTTTCTGTGGTTTTCATTTTTTTTTAAATGCAAGAAAATTCATTTGGTAATTCTATTTTGACTTTTTATATTTTTAAAGTTTTGAAAATTAATTGTCATTTCCTTCACAATTCCCACAACTTCAAAATGAAGTTTTGATTTTCAAATACTGTTATTTTATTATTTTTTAAAATGAAAATTAAAGAAATGTTATTTTAATATTTTTTACGATTAGAGAAATGTTATAAATAAAATATTATTTTATTATTTTTTAATTATACTAGAATAGTAAATAAAAGAGTAGATTTTTTTTTTATAAAAAGTTACCATGCGTATTTTCTCTTTTCACAAATTCAATAGTATATGTACGTTACTGAATATGTTTTAGTTTTAACAAAAATGACAGCACAATTTTTAAAATTTGTCATTTTCACATAAATGAAAGCACAAAAATAAATAGAAACCACATCTTTACCAACACAGGCCCTAAGAAACCCATCATTTACTGATAAATAATTTCATATTTTACAACTTTCATTATTTACATATACAATTGGTCCAAATGATGCTTCAACTCCTTTTCAAGTATTACTCTTTCTATATATACACCTCAATTTTCTCCATATATACACCTTATAAAATAATTGTAAAGTTAAATTACATTGATTTGCCAGTTATACACTAACCCTCTTATTTGTCAAATTACACTTACCTCCTTCAAGATTTTTATGTAAATAACACAAATCTCCCTTCATTAACGGTCAACATGAAAAATCCTTCACTAACCGTCAACGTGAGAAATGTTGATGTCCGTAATTTGTAACATTCAAATTTAAATTATATCTTTGAAAGACATATTTATTGTAATAAAATACCATGTTTGGCCACGTTATCTCTTAAAAATAAAGAACACAAACCACCCAATAACAGGGACAACATCACTACTCAAAAGCTCATCACTAGAGATGGGTTCAGCCTGATCGTGTGATTGGGGGGGCCAAAGTGATGGACTGAGTAAGAGAACTGAGAAGAGAGAATGCGATGGACTAAGTGAGATTCGCATTCTGCAGAGGAAAAAAAAAAAAACCCCAAAATTGACCCATATTTCAAGGAAAAGAAGAGGTGGTTTGGAGGTACACGAAGGTAACAAACAAACAAAAAAAAAGGGACTTTTACAATAAAGTGGTCTTAGTGTAGGTATATTACCCATAGCCTAACGTAGTTTGCATATTTACAAATACATGAACTAAGTTCCATTTGAGCCCCTTATTAAGCTGAATTTATATTTTCACCCCTAGAAGTTTAATTTATGCACAATTTATCCAAGGAACAACTTATTCAAGTATTAAAATTTTGTCAAACAGCACTTAGGAACTGCTACATAGCCCTAGAATTAGGAGACACAACACGTAGTCTACAAAGAAGAATTGAAGAACTTCGATCTAGAATTATATTAATACAAAATATTTTAGAAGCTAGACGTCAACGATTTTAGTTTATGAATAGACTTGACTTTAATAATTTAGATACTTCCATAAAACGATTAGGAGAAAATTTAGATTATATTAAAAAACAAGTAGTACAGAATTCTAGTCCAAATAATTTAGATAATAAGATAATATTAGTCGCAATTAAAGAAATCAATAGTGATATTAAGAATATTGCTGAAAACCAGAAAATAATCCTAGACTCTTTAAAATCCCTTAAAATTGATATCCAAAAATTATTACAATAGTTTTATGAACACCAGTAGTCCTGATTATTTAACCGCGTTAGCTGAACTTTACAAAATTGATAAAGAACCTATAGGATTTACTAGTTTTAAAATAGACGTACAGTCAACTAATATACATATTAGACAAAATAACTTTTTAATTCAGTTATTACTTCAGTTATCCGATAAAGTTAATAAACTTGAAGAGAAATTAGAAGTAATACAAAAAAGTATTCCCAGAGAATCTTCAAACGAATTAACTGAATTATCTGATAAAATAAAAGAAATAAAATTGTCAGTTAATAACCAGTGCTCTCATACAACAGCCAAGCGTGTAAATTTATTACAACTTCAACCCCATAAGCAAATACCACAATGGCCATTATCTTTAGAAAAGCCAAAGAAATAATGAGTAAAAGATTTATATGATAATGAACATGATGCTAAAAAATATATAGAACAATGAATGAAGAAGGTAAAAAATAAAATCAATCTTTATTCTAATAATTTATTAGATTTTCAGAGCAAAATATATAATCATTTTAGCTAAAGAAAAATAAGTGCAATTAACAATCAAGTAATTTTAGACCTTATAACACCCGAAGCATGCCAAGAACTAAATAATAATAATCTATAACTTATGCATTTAGGCGTTATAATGATAGGATTAGTAGGACTAAACAGAGCAGAAACCAGAACTAGAGCACTTGCTTATATTTATGATGATCGATAGAATAACCATCAACAAGCACAAATAGCCAGCACCGAAATAAACTTAGCCGATAATGCCGCAATAGTAGGATGTATTCCCAATTATACGATGACTACTAGAGAATTCAGTAAACATATTAAGGTAGCTATATCTACAAAATGAAATAATATGACAAGATAATTTGAAAATCTATTAGTTAATACTTTATTTATGAGAAAGGCAGATAATCAGTATAATTTAAAATTTAAAGCCCAATTTAATTAAATGGTTAAACCTTTTAGTAACAAATATGTCCAGATTATAGAAGCCAAAAAAGTAAGTAGTATTACCCATGAGAGAATATAATGGAAATTACCTAAACTTACTACTACACCTAAAAAGATTCCCGAAAATAATATAATATGTGTTTCAAATAACGGAGATGCTAGCATACAGTTTAGTAATTATAAAAGGCAAGACAATTTAGTTGATGATGCTCAAGAAGATTTCTTAACTACACTAATAGAGATAGAATCTCCTGAAGAAATAAATGTCCTTTATGATAGATCAAAAGATGAAATTCTAGATAAAATAATGTACGATTTTGATAATTTAGAATTTGAAGAGTTGCAAGACAAGTATCCAGAACCTAAATACCAACTTATCGAAAGTATTTGTTTAGGACAAAGGAAATAATGATGATATTAAGAAAAATATTCTAAGTGTCGGATTTGAATCATTTTATACAGCATTAGATTTAAACACAGTAAAAGAAGAATTAAATGTAATAGAGCATAGAGAAGGGAAAGTACCAGAATGATCAGAATCTCATTCAATAGACCAAGAAATGAGTGACCAAAGAAAGAATAACACCTCAGGTAGTAATACCTTAAGTGATGACTTTACTACTGGACAAAGATTAAATCCTTCACGAGAAACTTATCTCGAAAATAGAAATATACCAGATATGTACACATTAACGCAATATCGTAGACAATATAATAATATACCAGCACAATCATCAGGAACAATATTAGACATAGCAGGGCACGATCCCCAAGACTGGACAAAGGTAATCGAAAACTGGGAACAAGATTGTATTAGGCAATCTATTTTGACCAATTTTGACAATAGAACTCAAGCTTTAACCTATTGTGAAACCTTATTACAAAGAACCATTTATGACTGGTGGCAGGCTTATAAAGTAATTTATCCAAATGATTATGCCATCTTACGTGATAATTTTACCATTCAATGTTTTACAAGCCTTATTAAAAAGGTATTATTTGGTGAAGATAGATTATTAGATGGCACCCTAATAAAACAAAACGAAGCTTTACGTAATTTATAATTACTACAGATTTGTGACTTTAGATATATAAAACCCTATACCAATAAGTTTTTTTAGTATTTTGCAGCCACTGGTAAAACAGGTGATAAAACATTACTTGATCGTTATCTTCAGAAGTTACCCGGAAGCGTAGGAACTAAAATATGGGAAAAATGGTTAGAAAACCCTAGACGCGATACGCTAACTATAGGCGATAGAGTTAATCATGTGTATAACATGTTAAAAGCCGAATGTCGACAACGTAAAGAGTCTAAACAAATAAAAAAATAATTTTATTTACGTGTATAACATCTATTATACGTGTAGACAAATAGATTTTCCACCTCAGTACGGATGTATGTCTCAGAAAAATTACAATTATAAGCATAATAAACCTAAAAAATATAATCTGCGTAAAGCAAAACCTGCAAGAACTTTCGTAATAAAAAAACCTTATGTCAGAACTAACTGTAATACCCCTAATTTTAAAAAGGATAGTCTCGGCATTTTTTTTAACATATTTAAAACTTTATTTTATTATCTTTATCGCATTTTTATTTAATTGGTTATTTGAACTTTGACTTAAATTGTTTATGTGATTATTTGGTTTAATTGTTG